TTATGTCATGTTAGTTTCATGTATATTCCCATACATTGTTGGCCTCGCCCAGCTTTTTTTGCTTTTAGTGGTGCATAGGCAGTAATTAAAGTGGTCACTTTATCTGTGTATGTGTGCCTGTGTATTCACTTTGTGAGCTTTTCTTGTAGAGTTCTTGGAGTCTTAATTATAATCCTCATTGCCTCTCAAAAAAGTTATTCCCCGTCTTGGTTCACTCAATCTCTTTTGTGGGTAGAGCAAAATGGCAATAGAACATATGAACCTCAATTCTAGTCCTAGTTCTGGTTCTAATTGAGCCAGTTTAATTCACTATGTACTGGAATCATCTTGGCGAGGATATGCACTTTAGTGCTCTCATTTATTACTGAGATCTATTTTTAGTTACCTTTTGCCCTTATATGGAAGTAAATAGCATGGGTTTAGATTATATAAAGTTTTGTTCCTCTATCTCTCTTGCCCCAAAATCCACAATACATGTACTTATAGAGATCATTAAAGAAGCGAAGACAAATGGTGATAATCTCACTGAGTTACTTGAAGTCAGAATAGATGATTTGGAGCCTCACTGCCTTGAAGATGCGCTCACAGCTGCTGTTGAGGTTGGGAACCAGTTAAATGTTGGGAAACTTGTCCTCAAAGGTGCCACAAACATCCAACAAGCTCTGGAGGATTCTAAACGACTGCAGAAACACGAGGCAAGGGCCATGCTCTTACTGGTCATTGCTGCACAGACAAATGACAGGGACTTGGTCATTAAGCTGTTTGGTGCACGAACACAAAGAAACACATCACATGTAAGTGAGGAAGAGAGACAGTATGTTAGAAGCCAAATTGTTTGAGGGACATGATAGCCTAACCTAGACATCACACTATAATCACACACACAGGGATAAATTTTACAGCAATTTCAATTTTTAGCCAATGGCTAATGATGATGATTTTTCTGAAGTCCAGAAAGCCGTCATAAGTGGACGTGTCTCAACTATGGTTCCAATAGAGATAGCACAACGCCATCAGAGCCCAATTGTACGAGAGGAGCTTCTCCTGAGGACTAATGTGAACCAGGAAGAGGGTTCTGTCTATTGGCATGGCCTCCGTCTATTTGTACTTGATCTCTCTTGGATCCGCAAGATACACTGGGTAAGAAGACTGAGACTGGATGGGAATGGATTCCGAGCCATCCCAAACGAAATTAGAGGCTACTTGAAACAAGTAAGAGACAAACCTATGCATAATAAAGCATGTATTTGTACATCATCATGTAATGATGATGTGCTGTCTACAAAAATTGAAGTATTACCAGTAATTGTAAAAGAGCAAACATTTATTATGTACTCTAGGCAAGGGTGAAAGTTTATTTTAAATATAGTGGGTAACAGCAAACTTCTTAACCTTCTGTATTGCCCTCTCTCTTCTCCAGGTGGTAAAACTAGACCTCCAGCACAATGAATTGGTTACTGTCCCACACTGTCTATTTGAGTTACCCAATCTTAATGAGCTCAATCTGAGCAATAACAAGCTAATTGAGATACCTGATGTACACGAGTGGTCCCCTGGTCTCACTGTCCTGGACCTCTCCTCTAACGAGCTCTCTAGTCTACCAGCTGACATTGTCACTCCTTCTATTAGGACTCTCAACATTAGTTATAATCATTTCTGTACTGTCCCTCTCTCTGTCTGCTCCTTTATGAGTCTCCAGCACTTGAACATCAGTTTCAATCGAAATATACGTTCTCTGCCGGTGGAGATGGGTCGATTGCAGAATCTTATCAAGCTTGTTATTGATGGACTCAAATTGAGAGACCCTCCTCGTAATGTGCAGCGTGATGCCAGGGACTGTGTACGATACCTCAACAGTAAGCTACGCTCTGCTCGT